ATTGCCCAAGTGCATGTGATCGGCGCGGGACCTCGTACCCCCTCTTTCCCCCCCATGGAGTAGATCTTGAATGTGTTTGGTGCCCGTTTCGAGCAGGTGGAATCTCTCCCCCATGGGATGCACTGTGCAAACAGTTGCGCTGTGCAGAGGTCCAGAGCCAGACCCCCCCTCCCCTCCCCTTCCGCCCAATGTCGAAGCGCCGAATAAGAACACGCCCCATCATGCAGCACATCACACCTTTGGCCTATTCTGCCCACGCTTGAGCATTCCTATGTGTTTTGGCTGCTTGGCCAGTGCAGTGCATTAATTGTGCGGCAGGGACGCGTCGAGCCCTCCAAGTGCCAGGGACGCCAGGGACGACCTGCAGGATTTGCTGGCGAGGGGCAGAACTTGAAGAGAAGAGGAGTTGGATTCGATCGTTTTTTTTATTTATTGTTTGGCCGATTGGCGCGGGCCCTCGCACCACCCCTCCCCCCATATGGAGTAGATCTTGGCCGTTTTTGGTGCCTGTTTCGAGCAGGTGGAGTCTCCCCTCATAGGACGCACTGTCGCAACAGTCGCACTAAGCAGAGGTCCAGAGCCAGACCCCCCCCTCTTCACTCAATGCCGAAACGCCGAAGAAGAAAACGCTCACCTTGGAGGTCCGACCAGAAAGCTTAGTTGCATGCGATTTCATATCGCCCTTCAGCAGAACATCGTGCCAAATTTCCACCCTCTACGTCATATCGCTCGTGACCATCACGTGTCGCGAGGACAGTCTCTGTCGGCAGCGCAGCCATGATCGAATTTTCCTGGGCACGGCTGGGAATGTGTACTTTGATTGACTTGAATTGCGTCGATGTGTGACATGCATGATCTGAGAGGAGGTGGAGAGACGATGGAGCTCCCTCTGGGGCAACGAAACGTGTGAGGGGTGTGGCGAAGTGGGCGCGGGAACGCCATCAAAACCCTGCCAACGGGGCCTTCGGTGGAGCTCCCCGTGAGGCCATGCGACATGTGAGAGTGGTGCCGAAGTGGGCGCGGCAGCTTGCGAACATCGCCACTGGGGCCTTCGGAGCTCCCATAGGGGGCTCTGAAACGTGCGAGGGGCGTGCCGAAATCGGTTCTACAGCATTCGGGCACCGCCACTGGGGCCTTCGGTGGAGCTCCCCATGGGGCCACACACCGTGTGAGAGGTGTGCCGAAATTCGCGAGGGGTGTGCTGCAATGGGCGCGGCAACCTGCGAACACCGTCACGGTTGCCTTCGGTTGAGCTCCCCCTGGGGCCACGATTTGTCGGAGGGGTGCGCCGAGATTGGCGCCTGCGACAACCGCCACTGGCCTTCGGTGGAGTTCCTCCTGGGGCCACGACATGTATGAGGGGTGTGCCGAATCAGAGACACACGGAGAACAGATGTGTAGGGAGGGGTGTGGAGAGGCAGGGCTGGACCTAAACGGTGTTTTGCGCCGATCTCGTGGGCCGTTTTCGTTTCGACTTCGTTTTGCGGCAGAGGTGGATTGACGACAGAACGAGTGAGAAGGAAGACAAACGAAGACGAACAACACCGCTTAGGTTCAGCCCTGGATGAGGAGGCGAAGACGCGGGGCGCTGCGGATTCAGAAGAGGACCCAACTCCACAGAGCGGTTGGGAACTTGCGTGACTGTTCTGAATGGGCTCGCTGCACGGGAGGATGAGGAGGGGAAGAGGGGGGTGGATGAGGATGAGAGGGGGATGGAGAGGCGGGAGGATGAGGAGGTGAAGACGCGGGGCGCCGTGGCTTCAAGAGAGGACCCAACTCCACAGAGCGGTTGGGAGCATGCGCAACGGTTCCGAGTGGGCTCGCTGCACGGGCCGAGGGGTCCGCGCCGCTCGTGGAGCGGGCCGGACAAGCCTTCGTCTCCATCGTCGCTCTGACGTCCTGCTGGCCACGTGGTGGGTCCTCCTCCTCCTCCTCCTCCTCCCTCCTCCTCCTCCTCCTCCTCCTCCTCCTCCTCCTCCTCCTCCTCTCTCCTCCTCCTCCTCCTCCTCCTCCTCCTCCTCCTCCTCCTCCTCCTCCTCCTCCTCCGCCCCTGCCTCCTCCATCCATCGGCGCCTCAACGCGTGGGACACATGGTGCTTTGCACTCTTGTGGCACCGGGTCGCGTGGGCATGGCGAGTCCAGGACTTTCTGGCTGTGGTCAACGCCCATGTTGGCGAATTTCGAGAGGTTCGCCACGATGGGGCCTCTGTGTCTGGGGCAGTTCTTGCACGGGTGTTGTGCTGCGCAGACTTGGGCTCCGGCTCTGTTGTCGTGTGATACTCGATGAAGGGGTGAAGGGGTGACGCGTGGGCCAAGATCCACTGCGCAGGTTGCCAAGGGCCAGTCCAAGGCGCGCCGCCCCTGCAGAAACGCGGGATCCCGTTCCAGGGCAGACTGCCGTCCTTCGAGCCGCGCGGTCACCAGAGGGGAACGCCCGCAGGAGAGCCGCGCCGGCGACAGCCTCTGCGCAGCAGCCGCCCACCCTCAGCGGGACCGCCAG